GCCAAAGGCCTCGAGGCTCAATCTCGACCAACAAACAGTCCTGTTCACTGAACCTTTCAGTACTCAGATTCAATAACCAAAATGGCCGACGGAATCGATCGACGAGCGGATGGTACGTTAATGACTGTAAGCATGATGCGCGAATGCTAACGGCGCAAACTTTAGACAAGATGGAGTTTAACACCTCCAGGGAGGTCACCGTTGCTCCCACCTTCGAGGATATGCACCTGAAGGAAAGCCTTCTCCGTGGTATTTACGCGTACGGATACGAATCGCCCTCAGCCGTTCAGTCTCGCGCTATCGTCCAAATTTGCAAGGGTCGCGACACAATCGCTCAGGCGCAGTCCGGTACCGGTAAAACGGCTACTTTCTCGATCAGTGCCCTGCAAGTCATCGATACAGTCGTTCGCGAAACTCAAGGTATGCCGGTCAAAGACACCGCCGCGCTCCCAATCTAACCTACTGCAGCGCTTGTCCTCTCCCCCACCCGCGAACTTGCGACCCAGATCCAGTCTGTTATCATGGCCCTAGGCGACTACATGAACGTTCAGTGCCACGCATGTATCGGAGGCACAAATATTGGTGAAGACATCCGCAAGCTCGACTACGGCCAGCATGTTGTCTCAGGTACACCCGGTCGTGTCGCGGATATGATCCGGAGACGCCACCTGCGCACGCGCCACATCAAGATGCTGGTTCTTGATGAAGCAGACGAACTCCTCAACCGCGGATTTCGTGAACAGATCTATGACGTCTACCGTTACCTCCCGCCAGCCACGCAGGTGGTTGTCGTATCCGCTACCCTCCCGTACGATGTGCTCGACATGACGACCAAGTTCATGACCGACCCCGTCCGCGTTCTCGTCAAGCGTGACGAATTGACACTAGAAGGCATCAAGCAATACTTCATCGCCGTCGAAAAGGAAGAGTGGAAGTTCGATACCCTATGCGACCTTTACGATACCCTCACCATCACACAAGCCGTCATCTTCTGCAACACCCGCCGAAAGGTCGACTGGCTCACCGACAAAATGCGCGAGGCCAACTTCACAGTATCAAGCATGCACGGAGAGATGCCCCAAAAGGAACGAGACAGTATTATGCAAGATTTCCGCCAGGGTAACTCTCGAGTGCTGATCTCCACCGATGTCTGGGCCCGTGGTATCGACGTTCAGCAAGTCTCGCTTGTCATTAACTACGACCTCCCAACAAACCGTGAAAACTACATCCACCGTATCGGTCGAAGTGGTCGATTTGGCCGCAAGGGTGTCGCGATTAACTTTGTCACGAGCGATGACGTGCGCATTCTGCGTGATATCGAACTATACTATTCCACACAAATCGATGAGATGCCCATGAATGGTAAGCCGAACACCTATTGTCAGACTTTCTTGGATCATCCGACTAACAAATTCTCAGTTGCCGACCTGCTCTCCTAAACGATATGCCTCCTCTACTTCTTATCACGATCTCAGTATACCTCGGAATGCCAAAATGGTTTCAGCCAGCTACTTCATATGATCGCAAATTTTTACGCGCCATCGTAATCTCGCACACCGCATGATGGCGTGCTGCTCGGTAGAGCTGTCATCCGCGCCAGACGATCAATAGCGCACGAAGGTTGAAGTATGCGGCAAGCAGGGTCAAGGAAGAATTTCATTGGCCAACGAGCCGAACTCAATGTAGGAAAAGTTTTGAAGCAATGCCTGTGCTGATGAGAGGGGAGTTTCTGCTCTTTGATTCGACAGAGAAGGTCCTGCACCACAGACAGCGCCCTAGGTTCGTGTTTGCGAGTTTGTAATTGGCAGCATAATCAGGGGCATTGATACCGGGTTGTCAATAGTACGATTTGGACAGGATCCATGGCTGCCAGCCTTGCCGGGAGAGGGAACTTTGCGGCAGGAATCTGCAGCTAGGGCTTACTAGCGGCTATCACCTCAGCGATCTGGACCTGTCTACTCCGTACTTATCGATTGACTCAAAGGGCCCGACGGTAACTGCCGATCTAGGGTGGGTTCGTGGGCTCCAGTTCGACTCCTCTACCACATGTTGGAATGCACAGACTCAAACGTCGACTGGAATACACAATCCAGAGTGTGGTAGTACAAGCTAGAAAACCTTGCAAACTTGCAGCAAAGTCCCCGCCTTCCTTGTACGGTAATGTAGACGGTATCCCGAAAGGAGCAATACGACTGTGAGTGTGATGGTGCTGGCAGCATACTGCCAGATCAGTTTTCTATCGGACGCTCAGTCTCCGCTCTTCTAAAGATTAGCATCTTGTTAGGACCCCAGGCTTGAACAGGAACGAACTCAAGATTTGCAGAGAGCCCAACTTGCTTATTCCCGCAGTCGAAAACATCGGTTCCAATCGAAAGCAAGGGTGAAGGTATCCTGGCATACTAGGCTGACAAGGATGTGTCATGAGGGGTTCGCGTACGGAGTAAAGAGGAACAGATATCCGTATCATGCATGAACTGAGAGGGGCTGGAGCGGTCAATGATGGAAATGATGCCTGGCGAGCTTATGGGAGATATGCTGGGACGATGGTTGGATGGATTGCTCAGGTGGCTCGGAAAAGAGAACCTGAACTGGTGCATGGATCCCAACCTTAATATTCTGCACCCCAAAACACTCTGCAAGCTGCACCACGACTGAGTCACATTGTAAGTGTGTTGGCGGCCTTGATGAATACATAAGTCCAGTTTTCCAATACTGATCGTCCTCTTAAGCCAGTAGAAGTCTACGAGCGGGTTCCTTGAGGAACTATAACCAACCCGCTTTGTTTGCGCATGGACTGTGATTCAACTACCTCCCAGCATATTATTGCTCCGTATTCAGGCAGGCTGATGCAACTCTCATGTTGGTCACAGATCCACAAGATCCCTCCGTGGGAATGATTCGCCGTCTGGGCAGTTTTCTTTTGCGAACCCGCAATGCATCACCGTATTCATATTTCATAGCGTCCGAGTTGTACAAACGCCAGCCCGCGTTGTGGATTCAAGACCGACATGCATGGGCTTGGGACATAGTCGCTGAGACGGTGATACCGCAACAAGAGGTTCATTGGAAGCAGACCACAAGGAATAGTACTCCATAAAGATATCTTGAGCATCATCAGGTGAAATTTCTTTCTGCATCTTCTGCAACGGAACCGATACTTTCAGGTGGCGCAAACGTCCTCGAGCTGTTTCGGACTGGAGACAAAGGAGCATATCCAAGCGATCCAATGACTGGCACTGCGCATAAGGATATCAAACCACAGACAACTAAGTTGATGGTGAGAGAAAGCTCTTGGACACAGCAAGTGGAGGCACCAAAGGCGGTAATGTCCGGCAGTACTTAAAAAGGGAGCCACAAGCGGAAACTCCCCTGGCGCTCCAGTCGCGGCCTTTGAGCTTGGATACAGCTCCTCATGGCGAACACCCTTCCACCTCGGGGTCTCTCAGCAGAAGATGTCCCTTCTGAGAGAGCAGAAGGGAGAACTATACACCCAAGATGACTCCGACACTCCGGTCTTGTCTTCTTTCGAACAGAAACAGCCGTTCCCCCCTCTACCGCCCGACGAACTCGAAACACATGGAGATACCCCGGACGATAGCTACCCGCAAGATGATCAGGACCTAGCTTCCTCGCACCCCGATCCTGAAGTGGAAGACGACGTGGACTTTCATTCGCACTACTCTCTGGAAGACCAATCTTTCTCAGATGCCTCGACAGACTCGAACGATGACCAATCGCCAGAAGATGGCATTGCGATGCACCACCCTTTCCGGCAGTCGGCCAGTTCTCTCCACGGGCCTAACGCTTTTGCGCCTCCCTTCTACAATCGACCTCCCACACCTTTACCACCGTCTCCTTCACTGACGTCTCTCCTTCGGCCCCCTTTTTCTACTACTACTTCACGACCGACCACTCCCGACAGCTCCGACGTTGAAACGCCAAATGACACTGAAGCAGCTGTTGCGAAGTCGGCGCGGAGGGCAACAACTGTTCCTAGGGCGAGCCCCAAGGTTCCGACCTACGAATATTATGGCTTTGTTCTCTACCTCGCATCCTCATTGGCATTCCGTGAGTGAAGAAATGTCGAAACATAATCGCATACAATACTAATTCAAGCTGCAGTGATCTACATTCTGTGGTCTTACCTCCCCTCGCCTTTCTTACATCAGCTTGGAATATACTATTATCCGAATCGATGGTGGTCATTGGCTTTCCCTTCCTGGCTAGTTATGTCGATCATCTATCTCTACGTCGCCTTGGCATCTTACAACACCGGATACCTTACCCTACCGATGAATAGCGTGGAAAATATCGTGGACGAAGTGGCCAATATCGCGGTCATCGACGGAAAGGGCAGACGGCGGCCAGGCGGTGCTGCAAAAATGCGGCCTGGAGCTACCTCATTCCAGATTATGGGGCCGCAAAACCGCAAAGTCAATTGGAGGGAGATTTGGAGTGAAGGGACGGACGCTGTCCTGGACGTTCCTGTGGGGGGAGTATGCGAAGTACTATACGGACAAGAAAGACATGGCGAAGATGATGTTTGTGAAGAAAGTCCGGATTTGTAGACACTGTGATATAGAATCTATGAACTATGAAATGATCAAGCCATGATATGGACCATCCTCAGAACAATGCACAATGACAGGCACATGGTCAACCCCAGATTTCTTGGTAGGCGCGAAAATGAGACACGTTTCCAACGGTAGACGGTAGCATCGACGGTGCCGGTGATTGGTGGACGCGGGCAGCCCGCATGAACTTCACCACTGAGGTGGACAATACCACGTTCCAACAGCATTGAATCTCTTAATGCTCTCTCGCCGCATTAGAGTCTAGACAGATAAGCAACCCCTGGCTAGAAACCCAGACAACTCAGCGCCAAAGGCGGTAACCATCGCGTGGGCGGCTACGGGAGCCAACAAGAGACCAACGCCGGCGGTTACTTTGCTGCGAGGAGACTCCAGACGCGCTCCGGTTCTGTGTCCATCCCGGCTTCGACGCACAGCTTGACTTCTGCTCTTCTTTCTCTGAGCAGGACCTCCGCTCTTCTGTCCTATCGCTATCCCTGACTGTTTACCGGTGCTGGCACGGCTTGGAACGTTGTTCCCTGCCGTCTGCTGTGAGCTGTTGGCTCCAGCTCACAACAACACTTACCGCAATACCAGTTCCCGCACCGTCCACTCAAACAACCCACGCTCTCGAAAATTAGGAGCGAGACCACCTTTATTGCTTCAACTTAATTGCATTTTGTCGCTCCCCCTCTGTATTGTATGTCTTGGCAATCTCCCTCCGCCATGTCTGGGGGTGGAGGGTTCGTCGGTCCTGGCGGTGATGCGAACGGGGGCCCTCAGGGGACGGAGTACACATTACAAGGTACGTTTTTCGCGCAAAGGACAGCGCCGTTGCTGTTCTCATTTATCGGCTCAATTGATTATACTAATGTCATTGCTGCCTAGGTGTAATGCGCTTCCTCCAGACGGAATGGCACCGACACGAGCGAGACCGCAACGCCTGGGAAATCGAGCGCGCGGAGATGAAGTCTCGGATAGGGAAACTTGAGGGCGATGTCCGAACCAGCAAGCGGTTGCATGAGTCCCTGGGAAAGCATGTCCGACTGCTTGAAGCTGCATTGAAGAAGGAGCGCGAGAAAGTCCGAAAGCTCACCAACAATGAGGCTGTGGAGGATCTCCGGGATCCCAAGGAGATTGCCCGAGAGAGTATAAACTCCCTGAAATGTAACATTCACTATCTTGATTGTGCTTGTTGGTGGTTCTAACGATTGTTTCTTTCCAGCCCAACGGCCGAAATTCGACCCTCTCGGAGATCTAGACCCCAACGCTGAAACCCAACCAGAATACCGCCAGGAGACGGAACGCGACAAGTCACGGTTATACCTATCCAAATGTTCGCAGGAAATTGCGTACCATGTCATTCCCTCCGCGCATCCACCTCCCGACCTCGGCGACCTCGAGCTCTCGAACCATGTTTACGGTAACCAGCAGCTGTCTCAGCAAAGTCTAGAAGAAGCGTACGCGTACATCATGCAGCAACGACAAAAGCAACAGGCGAGTAATATGATGGCACGGGAAGTTCCTATGCAGAATCATCAGCCTATTGTTCGGCACTACCCTGACAACATGAGCCTGTCCCGCGCCCCTAGCCAGTACAGTCTTCCGGCCACCTCGAGGGATGTTGTCGATAGGCGGGCTATGGAGCAACAGCAACTCCCGATGACAGGTCTTGAGGACAGCAGGCAGGCTCTGGACAATTCCCTTCGGGAGCGTGGAAGCTCAGAAAGACAGGTATACGATAGCTACGGGTCTCAAGCTTCAGCCGAGGATGCGTCACGATCCCAGCAAACCGAAGAAACTTCTGGTGATACTGATGGTTGGAATTTCGATGATTCAACTGAGCAAGTCGCCCCGCCCGAGCCGATACCCCATCGACCAGACGTTGATGCATTTCCGAACGCGAATTTTGCCCGACAGAAGTCTCCCGCCAGGTCTGGATCACTATCTCATCGGAGGAAAAGCTCTGGTGCTCGGCGAAAGAGCGAGGGATCAGTTGATCTCGGCACTGGAGCAAGTCCGAAGCAAGATACCACATTTAAAGTTCGATTCGCCCTACGAGGGCACTTGGATGTTGTCCGGGCTGTGATTTTTACTGGCGGTGGAAGCCCATCGGAACCTGAGATATGTACTTGCAGTGATGATGGAACGATCAAGCGATGGTTTATTCCAGCGAGTTTCGGAGCCTATGGCCATGCAGCCAGTTCCGGTAGCGACTTGGATATCGCGAGCTATTTCACGCACCGTGGACACGTTGGAGCTGTGACAGCTCTAGCTGCATGCTCTCCATCCCAGAACTTTTCGCAAGGCGGCCGCACGATCGGGGACGGCTGGGTATTCTCTGGTGGACAGGATGCTAGTGTACGAGTCTGGGAAAGGGGCAGGGTCGATCCTAAGGCCACTCTGGATGGCCATTCTGATGCGGTCTGGGGTCTATGTGTCCTCCCTGGGACGGCCGGGTCTATATTCGGCGATCAGTCAAGTCATTATGGCGGGCCGGACCGTGTCATTCTTGCATCGGGCGCCGCAGATGGTAGGATAATCATATGGGCCGTCAGCGGCCCGCCCCAGCTCTCTTCACCACAAGCTGGGAATCGACGTGCTGGCGGCAGCCGGCGGGCCAATTCGATTTCCTCGGGGTCAAACTTTCCCTCCTCCCCGCAGCCTAGCACAGCAACGACAACGCCGTTCCACTACACCATGGTTCGGCAGATTGTCCGAACGGAATCACCTTCACCGACGTGTATCAGCCCACTATCGCTCGCTGGTATCAACTTCGTGGTGTCTTATACAGACGCTTCGATCCTCGTGTACGACACGAGAACCGGTGAAGAGATCGTGGGCATGGCCAGCCTAGAGACATACGATGGAACACGATCAACAGGCGTCAACTCAGTTGTTGCGACCACTATAGGCTTCGACGGGTCGGCCGGTCTTGATCCTAGCCGGACGTTGGCGGATGAAGAGGTAGTCCACGGCGCCACTGGATCAAGTGGCGTGGAAGGCGTTGTCATCAGTGGCTACGAGGACAGGTATATTCGCTTCTTTGATGCCAACAGTGGTACGTACTCCTTACCTTCCGATCCACCCAGCCCAGCTAACTAATCATCCATAGGACAATGCACCTACACCATGCTAGCACATCCCTCTGCCATCGCCTCCCTCTCACTCTCTCCCGATGGCCGCGAGCTCGTGTCTGCCGGCCACGACGCCAGCCTGCGGTTCTGGAACCTCGAAAAGCGAAGCTGCACTCAAGAAATCACAAGTCACCGACTTATGCGCGGTGAAGGGGTCTGCTCTGTCGTCTGGAGTCGCGATGGCCGATGGGTCGTTGGCGGCGGCGGCGACGGAGTCGTCAAGGTGTTCTCTAGATGATAACGCAGTGGATGTGGCCTGATGTATGATTTGTGTTTTAACATGTCCTGCTGATTGACTGATAACTTTTCTCACGCCATGTTCTTTTGGACTCATGAATGATTGAGCGATTGGCCAGATTCCCGAGCATTTGTAACGGTGTCAAGTTACCTACCTACCTACTTACCTGGCATATGTTCCTTTCTACCCTCATGTCCTTATAGCTTGTTTTTTTTTTTTTTCTTTATTTTTTCTTTTTCTTTTGTACTGCTCGTTTCACATTTTCAATGTCGAACCGAGCCACGTATACCAAGATGTCCTGTTATTTTTATTTCCGCTTACAAGAGATACTGGTCCATGTGAAATATGATCAGGGGATGTATGTTACTATATTACCTTTTTGACGTTTGATTTCTCCTCTGGAAATATATCCTCTGCTTTTCCACGTCTATTAGGTATGATATCTCGGTGCAAATATAGATAGACATCATGGACTCGGGTTATATATATCTCAAACAAGCTCATAGAATCACCATGAAATTCAGGTATCACAACTAGAGAAAAAAAAAAAAGAATTACCGACTAGCAGTCCAAGCCTCCTTAAACACACCCCTCATCTTCTTCGCAACATCCTCATCCTTAAGCCTCTGCGCCAGATACCCCTGCAAATCATCCCAGAACGCATCCATCTCCAACACAGCCTCACCACTCGGCCCAACCGCAGCCTTCACGGTGGTCTCTCCAACCCCAGTAGTCTCCTCGGGTACCTTCTCAGCCTCACCACCCTGTACCTGACTCTGACCCTCAGCAACTCTCGCGCCTCCCATAACCATAACACCGAACTCGACGTCCTTCCCACCAGCCAGCAGCTCCTGATCGCCAGCATCGCCTACAATCTCCGCAACCGTCTTTCCAGTCCCCGTAACAGGCTTTTTCTTGTACAGGATCTTGATCTTCTCCAGGGGCACCTTGTTGTCGGCTTCGGTGGTGGTCTCGAGGATGCGTTCGCGAACGGCGTCTTTCAAGTCCGAGACGGTCGTTGTGGCGAGTGGGGTGTTGGAGAGTGAGAATTCTAGCGCGGGATTGCGCGCAGATTTAAGCGTGACCGTGATGGATTTTGAGGAGCCTGGATTTGCGCTCTTCGATGCGGAGCTCTTCTTTGGCATGGAGGGGCGCGGGGGTTGGAGGCGGGGAAGGGTGTACTGTTTGGAATGGTTAGCGCATGACCTCTTTTAAAACTGCTTCTAAGCTTGTGCCTTGAGAGTTGATGTTGAGCGGCGGGGGACGTACAGGGCCCCGAGGGGTCTGTCCTTGGTCGTGGACATAGTCAGGGCGGAGCTTGATGGGACGGGAGTCGAGCGCTGAGACGAAGAGTTTGGTGAATGCGAGTTCCGACATTGTGGCTATGCTAGCCTTGAGAGACCCGTATACAGATGCAAGGAGTTGCTTGAGTGGTATTGCGTGGGAAAGAAGTGCAATGGCAGGGCAGGACGACGGAGTGATACAATCGTTGCTCAAGACATCAGAATTACCCAATTAGGCGGCGATGAAGCTCGGCGGGTCTGCTTGCGTTGCGGCCTCAGAGCTCAGGCAGCAAGCTGTGGACCTGATACATTACACCGCCTCGGACTAATCTTTCTGCCAGGGACTACCGCCTGTTCGGCCGCAGAAAAAAGAAAAAAGTTGAAATTTCTCCCAGCTGAGAAGGCCAAAACATAACTCTTGTCTCACGACGCATTACTTTTCACAATGGGTAAAGGTCGCCGCATGAAGAAGCAGGGCCCTCCGGCCCCGCTGGATGAGTCGAAAATCACGATGCTTAAGAAACGCAAGACCGACGACACACCTGCGCAATCAAAGGCGGAAGCGGGAAAGAAGCGAAGACGCACCGATGAGGAAGACGCCGTGAAGGAAGTTCCGGTCAAGACCAAGAAGGACAAGGCCAATGGAGTTGCCAATGGGAAGGAGAAGAAGGCTGCTGTTGCCGTTGCACCCGCTAAGAAGGATAAGAAGCCCAAGAAGCAGCCGGAGCCAGAACCCGAATCGGAGGACGAGTGGGAGGACGAGGATATGTCGGACATTGGCGATGCTGAAGAGATGGATGAGGATGAGTTTGAGGATCTGGATGGAGTTAGTGATGGCTCTATGGATAGTCAGGGAGAGGGCGAGTTTGGGTTTGGCAGTGACGACGACTCAGATTCTGTGGTCGACTCAGATGACGATGATCACCCACGGCAAACAATGTTCTCGGATGATGAGGACCTTTCAGATGCGGAGGAGAAGCTGACGGCGGCTAACATCGAGGGTCTATCCCGAAAGTTGGACGAGCAAAGGCAGCAGGAAGAAGAGGAGGCTGATCTCGAGATGCAGGAAGCTGCGATGCAGACGAACATTGCTGGTGACAGTACGGACGTTTTCGAGGGTGCAGAGGGAGAGGGACTGGCTCCTAACCTCCAGTTGCTCCGCACAAGGATCACAGAGACGATTCGCATCTTGGGCGACATGAAGACGCTCGGTAAGCCTGGCAAGTCCCGCGCCGATTATACTCAGCTCCTCCTCAACGACATCTGCACTTACTACGGATACACCCCATTCCTCGCCGAAAAGCTCTTCAACCTCTTCACCCCAATGGAGGCCTTCGCCTTCTTCGAAGCCAACGAAACTCCCCGTCCTGTCGTCATCCGTACCAACACCCTTCGCACCAACCGACGATCTCTCGCCCAGGCGCTGATCAACCGTGGTGTCGTTCTCGAGCCTGTCGGAAAATGGTCCAAGGTCGGTTTGCAGGTCTTCGAGTCCGCCGTTCCCCTCGGTGCTACCCCGGAATACCTCGCAGGTCACTACATTCTCCAAGCCGCATCCTCCTTCCTCCCCGTTATGGCTCTCGCCCCTCAAGAGAACGAACGTGTTCTCGATATGGCTTCCGCCCCCGGTGGTAAGACCACATACATATCCGCCCTGATGCGCAACACTGGCTGCGTCATCGCCAACGATGCCAGCAAGCCCCGTGCAAAGGGTCTGATCGGTAACATCCACCGTCTCGGCTGCAAGAACACCATCGTCACCAACCTCGACGCCCGTACCGCATTCCCCAAGGCCATGGGTGGCTTTGACCGCGTCCTCCTCGATGCCCCTTGCACAGGTACTGGCGTTATCGCCAAGGATCCCAGCGTCAAGACCAACAAGAACGAGCGCGACTTCCTCGCCATCCCACACATGCAGCGCCAGCTTCTCCTCGCCGCCATCGACTCCGTCAACCACGCCTCCAAGACCGGCGGCTACATCGTCTACTCCACTTGCAGTGTGACAGTCGAAGAAAATGAAGCCGTAGTCCAATACGTCCTGAAGAAGCGACCCAACGTCAAGCTCGTCGAGACCGGTCTCGGCGACTTCGGTACCCCCGGTTTCACCCACTACATGGGCAAGCACTTCGATGCAAAGATGACCATGACAAGACGCTACTTCCCGCACCGCGAGAACGTCGACGGTTTCTTCGTCTGCAAGCTCAAGAAGACTGGTCCCTCGCCCACCCAGAAGGCTGGTGAGAAGGACGCCAGCGCCGCTACCAACGGCACCGCCAGCAGAGCCAAGTCGACAACCCCGGCCACAAGCGACGATGAAGTCGTCGACAAGACACCCATCACCGAGGAAGACGGCACCACTCCTGGCGAGGGATTCGGTCCCTTTGACGAGAACGACGAAGAAGACAAGGAGCGCATCCTGCGCGCTGAGCGCAACCGTCTCCGTCGCAAGGGTCTCAACCCTAAGGGTGTGCTAAACAAGCCCAAGAAGACTGCGGCACCAAAGACAGATTCGGAGTCCGAGTCAACGCCGAAGAAGACCAAGAAATCCGAGGACTCACCGGCTGAAAAGTCCGAGCTTAAGCCCGAGCAACAGGAGAAGCAGGCCGACTCCGAGAAGAAGAAGGAAAAGAAGGAGAAGAAGAAGCCCACTACGAAGACTCAACAAGTAGATCTAGCCCCTTCTTCCACCCCGCCCTCTAACCAAGAGCAGGAGAAGAAGCAGACTAAGGTTAAGACTACGAAGACGTCTGATAGCCCTGGGAAGGAGAAGACGAAGAAGAGCAAGGGACAAGGGAAAGTTAAGGGTAAGGGAAGCAAATAAAGGGAAGGGCGTTTATACCTATTTACATTCGTATAAATAATGTGCTTGTTTACGGTTCTTTAGCATGGTCGAAAAAAAGCATATTTCCAACATCTGTCAGTTTCTTTAGTACATTGTGAAATCCACGGAGGGCTTACTTCCATCTGACGAGGCGCCTAGCTATGACATATTGCGTATCGTTTATCGTGTATCTGAAGTACTAAACGTTGGAGTTGATATGATTTAAAAAATCATAGTTCAAAAACATCGGTCTAATATACTCATATCAACGATGGATAGGAACTAGACGGTGTATTTTTATCATCGCCGAAAATGGCATGATGACAAGATGTGTAGTGTATGATATAACTTCCAGGGTATGCCATGTTTCTCCAAAAACCCAAAAACGACTGAACACCAGAAACGTGGGGAAGAGAATGGATAGAAAGTAAAAACAAAAGGAAAAAAAAATAAGCAATCTAGAAAAAGCCAACCAAAGATTGCGCTCCTTGAATCGACGGGTGGAGTAGCTGCTTGCTTATGTGCGGTAGATCTTGACAACGTTAAGGATATTCTTCCGGCAGATGGGGCAGATTTCGACCTGGCGCGCGCACGTAACGCATGCACAGACATGACCGCAGTCGTAAAAGAGAGCATCCTGCTCCTCGCCGAAGCAGATTTGGCAGAGGTCCTTCTCCTCGTCCGCAACCTCCCAGTAACTGATGCCCTTGCCGTGACGCTTGCCATCCTTGTACCCGCCAACGTACTTGTTGCCGGTCTTACGCTCGACGAAGGTTCCCTGACCGTGGCACTGGTCCTCGAACCAGTCTCCTTCGTAAGTATCGCCGGTTGGATACTCCATAAGACCCTGGCCGTGGCGTTTGCCAAGAATGTAGTCGCCCGTGTAGGAAGCAGCCGAATCCGAAATGTGCTTGCCCTTGCCGTGGTAGTAGCCCTTGACAAAGTCACCGCTGTAGAATTCAGATGTGAAAGTGGCGTCGACAGTCTTTGTGCCGGTAAAGGCCTTCGTGGGGTGGTTGCGGGATGCTGCCCAGAGGTAGCTGACTAGGTGCTGGGGGTTGGCGAAAAGGCCCTTCTCGTTGTATTCGGCGCGCTTTGCCTTATTAAGCTTGTCACCAACGATGAAGCAGGCACCGTCAGCGGGATTGATTTCGAATGTCTCCGCTGAGGCGAGGGTGTCAACCACAGTGCCGTCAACCTGGTGCCAGACCTGGAAGTCTTTGGTCGTTGGCCAACCGAGATGCTTGCGGATAGCCGGCTTGATTGTTTCCTCCTTCTGGGAGAAGAACGATCCCACGGTGCGGAGCGACTGCGACTCAATGTCGAAGAGCTTTATGTAGTAATAGACGTGCTCCACTGGCAGGACAGCCTCCCGCTCTGCAGGCGTGGCATCTTCTGTATTGACTGTAGCCTCCGTAGGTTCTTCCACGGGCGCTGTCGTCTGCTCCTCAGGCGGAGATGACTGAGCAGGCTCCTGTTCTTGACTGGCGGAAGCAGAATGGGTTTGCTGTGCTTCTTCATCCATCTGTTCAAGGTCACCCGCGATAATAGCCGCGATCACGGCATCATTCTCAGAAGAAGTAACCTCGTTAGTTGCCGTTCCGACTGTTTCAGTATTAACCTGGGAAGTCTCTGCAACTTGGGTCGTTGAGTTTGAGTTCTCCACGTTCTCGTGATTGGACTCAAGAGTCGACGGTGCTGCTTCGTTCGTCGCAGCAACCACATCTGCTGAAACTGCGTTGGTTGACGCCTCGCTCTCTGACAATTCAACCGCAACCGTTGTCGTATCGCCGGTGGTTTCAATGATTGCGGGCTGCTCCGCAGCAACCGCGACCGTCTCATTTGAGCTTACGTCCACAGTGTTCTGGCTTGCATTGCTGGAGGAGCTTGGCTCGGCACCTTCAGTAGCTGGAGCGATTGACACGTCGTCCGAGGTCTCGGAACCGGGACGCTCAACAACAGCTTCTTCGGGTTTGGAATTGACCGCAACTGGCGCCTCAGGATCTTTCATCGCAAAGTATTTGGCGTCTCCATCTGACACAACTTGCATCCAATAACGGACGGGATTCAATGGCAGGTCGACGGTAGCTGTGAGATCAGAGACACGTTTGAGGGATACAGTTGACCCAGAACTGTCACGCCCATGGCCAATCTGCCAGAGGCGAACATTTTCCGGGTTGATCTCGGCACCTGCACGTGTGGAAGCCCAAAGCCCAATCTTCTTGCGAACATCGATGAGGTTTGTAGAGCGGGGCACAGTCATGTACATGACATTGTTTGCGGCCTTGGCTTGAGACATGAGATCGTATGAATCAAAAAGACTGTCAAGCTGATCATACTTTTCCAGGGAATAGACTTCAACTTGGATATCCTTAGCCTCGGCTCCACCATCAGTCTTCTTGGAAGAGGCGACATCACCAGTCTCGTAATATTGCTTTAGGTCTTCCGAAACTTCCCATGGGCCTTGAGGACCGGGTAGGAAGTCTTTGACGACATCACTGCGGATATACATGACCGCGATCGCGATGTCATGGCCCGTCTTGTGATCAGGTGTTTGGCCCGGTTCCAAGCCAAGGTGCGGCCCTAGAGCCGTCTTCCGAGTCAAGCATTCCACTCGGTTGTCACTACCATCGTCGAACGCCAGCCATTTGGTACCAGGGCCGCCTGGACGCAGGATACTGAAGAACTTGCCAGAAGTGCGCCGGCCACGGTGGACAATGTACCCGTAAAGGACATAGTTTCCGCACTGGCCGTCCAGAAGCCATGGCGACAAATCCACTTCTTCATCCGGTTCTACTCGGTTGTAGAGTAGACGCCATTGACGAGCACCCTTATCCAGTGTCTGGCGACCCAACTCGAGGTGCAGAACCGGTGGTAGGACCCATTTTCCTGGCTTAGCACTGAGATACAAACTGAAGGCCTCGCTCGTGGTCTTAGCTTTGTTCGCGGGCACACAAATACGGGAATTGAAGTCTTTCGGAATCGTGTGCACAGGAGTCTCTGAAACATCCGGAGATAAGGAGGCCAGCGAAGGGCTGTCGAACAACCGTGCAAGCTGCTCTGCCGCCGGGGTACCTGCGAGCTCCAACTCCAAAGACCGGCGCAAGCGTTCCCAGAACTCGCAAACGTCACTGGACTTCTCATGCAGGTTGCTCAAGGTAGTGGTAATCGTGTCTGTGTCGACGTACTGAAGTGACTGGTCTCGTCGACGCAACTGCCAGAGGAACCTTTGCAGCGCGTCGCACAATGGCTTGGGCTTCACATCACAGTTCGTGAGGTGTTCCAGGACATTCACACTCTCAATGATTCTGGAGAATGGAGCGATGTGCAGCCAAGTAGCTAGCCCAGCAACATCTGCGCTATGGTTGATGACGGAATCACCAAGTGACCGGTAGCCGGTCAAGCCAAGGCTGTCCCAAGTGGGCTCAGAGTCACTAGGGTGCCACCAAAGTGAACGAGTGGGGTCCTCAAAAATCCGAATGTACGCATCGAATGCTAAGGTGTCATTGCGAAGCAATGCCTGATGCTGGAGGCGCTGACGCCGATGAATCTGGTCCCATGGACCGTGGAAATTGGTCCACCCCCAATCCAGGTTGTGAGGGTTGAATTGGTGGCAGGAAGACTGCATCCATGCGGTGCGCGGCTCATCTGGATTGTATACAATGACTCCAATCTGTGCGGATACTCTCCAAGTCTCTTTTGCTGGCTCAGCTTGGTCAGCCGCCGCTGGATATTTACCCTTGAACATCTCGGCCCAAGCTTCTGGGTCCTGGGTCTTATCGAACTTGATGTCTAGGTCGGTGTTCCTGGCGTCTAGCTCAACGTCTGCAGGGCCACGGAGAACCTTGTACTCCGTCTCAGGAAAAGTATCATCCGGCTTCGGCATGGTGGATGAGCATTCAATGTAGACGCTCAACGAGCTAACGTTGTTGCCGCGAGGAAAGAACTTGATCGTCCACCAGTATCCCCCGATGTATGCCGGAGGGGAACGCATGATTTTGACCCGGTTAGGGTTCTCCTTGGTGCCCCGAACACCCTTAATCTTCCATGTGAGGCGAGCCTTCTCTGCGGGACGGTATTCCGGGTCGTCGAGAGCGGGGTGGAAATTCTTCTCCCAATACTGGTCTACGAGAATCGACGATGGTTAGACAGATAACATGGATCGTAAGAGCGATAAAAAAAAGAACTCACGATCTTGAGAATTGTAGTTCTCCTGTGTCTCAATCTCTGCTAGTTCAGCATCATCAGGAGCTGAGGTATCCTCCTCTTCTTCTGCCCAATAGGCATGCTCCTCTTCTTGTGTCGGAACAGACGAATCGGATTCGGCTGACGGTTCTTGAGCCTCACCCTCTTGGGGACCTTCGGCTTCAGGTGTAGGCTGAGGCTCTGGCTCCGTCGGCGGCGGTGATTCGAGAATGAGGGGATCTGTAGGGAGTGGAGATAACTCTTGAACTATTGTGTTGATGGTGACCGGGTCTGAAGGACGGGGATCGCTGTCGAGAGGGAGCGGAACAGGGAGTTGCTCGACAGTAACTGCACCTTGTCCGTCCATGTTGACAAGAAGTATGCCGAACGGCGGGTATGAAGTGGAGACGATCAACGACAGTAGACGAAACGAAGAAGAGAACGAAGGGAATTGCAAACGCAGAAGAATGAACTTGCAAGGCGCGAGAGAATATAATGAAGCAGAACAACAGTGAGTCACTCAAAAGGCAGCAGGCGCAGCAAAAAGCAGGCAGAAAGAGAGAGCTGACTGCTGAGCGGGTGGAACACAAGGCCGCGATAAGAGGCTTATCTGTACGGGGTAACAGCCGGGGAACGTCCGTGAGGAACAAAAATCCGGGGATGTTCGACGAAAGAGAGGGACGAGCGATGGTTCTTGCAAGGATGCAGCGAAAGAAGTGAGTGAAAAAAAGAAATCCAGGAAAAAAGGCGAAAGACAGACGAAAGCCAAAGAAGCGAGAGTGACTGATGGGAAGTGCAGGCGAGGCTGTGAGAATGAGGCGGTACCACGGCCAAATCAGACACGCTCACCGCTGGTTCTGCATACAGAAGGATTTCTACAATTCAGCGTTCGGGGTCGCTGGTTCTTATCCATGTCTCGTTGCCCCAAAGATTTCTTATTCATCCTCATCGGACCTGGCCTGGCCGCGCTATGGAGTATCTATCGCCACCGTCCCTCCCGAGCCTCCCTATCTCGACTAGGATCCGCCAGGCCCAAAGCGAATAATGCGAAGGGAGGAGAGATCAGCCGCCGGAGTTGTTGAAAAGGGCATCCCCACTCCCTTCTGACAACGTATTTTTGCTTTTGCGCTCCAGTTGGGGATAGATTGTCTGGTCCGTGGCAACGACTTCGGAAAATCAAACTAAATGCCATTCGTCTTGTCGGCCCCGTCAGAGCCGTGGCGATCATTGGAATCCACGGAAATAATCCACTCAACCGATCGATTTCCTATATGCGATGTTCTGATTCGTCAGATGTTAGCTGCTCGCCTACTTGAAACTTTGCCCCTTCCCCTCCCCCTCTGCACTTCTGCACTCCAGACGCCGGAAACTCGGGTCGGATGGTATCTCCCTTTGTTGAAGAGGAGTTTCGTTCCTGAGGCCTTATCTCTGGTTCGTCTCCCGCTGGGTTCCCACATGCTCGGTTTTTTTCCTGCAATCTCGTTCGCCACGCACTCGATTGTCGAGCCCGAATGTGCGCCGAGAACGGTCGGACGTCCAAGCGGTGGGGTCGATTTGTTGTTATCGAAAAAATGATACGGGTTCCGACTGCGGTTTTATGCAGCATGACCACCCGACCTGTGCCAATAAAAAGCTAGTTTCATTGCTAGACGGGAATGCGCATTATCCACGTCAATGTTGAGATTCTTCTCCAGCGGGGGAGGATTGACCGGCTCGTGCGAAGGTGGCTGCGACAATGAGAGGGAACACGACGGTTGCTTCCGCGTACACCTTGACGGACTGACCATCCGCCTTGATTTTACCCCAGCTTACGGCCTCATCCGGACGAGCTCCAGCGTCGCTACCATCAAATTCCTGTGCGGTGTTGATGTAAACGGCGTGTTCCGCTCCGTTTCGCATTAGACAAGCATTGGCAATGTGGTGCTTGACGATTCCTCCACCGAGGATAATCATTCCTGCGCGGGCAGCCCGTACAGCCATCGTATTGATGCGACGCAGGTCATCGACGATGTCGACTCGCAGTCGTTTGGGGGACGCACGGAACGTGTGGAAGTATAGCATATCACCAAGTGAGCCATCGGTGAGGGCGGGGCAAAAGATTGGGATGTTATTTTTGGCAGCCCAGTAGAGCACCGAGTCCTCGTGGTTGATCTCTCGGCCTAGCCGCTCAATTATACGGCTCGGAGTCCAGTGTAGCTCATCCTCCTCGTCTCCTGTCTCCTGGGCCTTTTTGTTGGCCGCCTCTTGCTCCTCCAGCATTTTGTCTAGGATAGGCACCAGCCAGTCTTCAAACGCACAGTAGTTGCTGTTGGGGACGATGAGATTACCGATTCGATTAAGGCCTTTTGCTCGGAGACCAGCACCAGGAGCCGTGAAGTTGCCCATGTACGTGGGAGCCAGGCATTTGATCAAGTCCTCCTCAACTCCACCGGCAGTTGTAACAATGGCGGAAACATGGTTATGGCGAACTAGATAACGGATACTGTCTCGCAGTCCGGAGGAGATCAGATTGGAGGTGTAGCCGAGAAAAATTGTGGTCTTGTCGCCGGTTTCAGGATGACGATACGCGCGCTGAACGACGGCATTGATCAGCATAATTCAGATCAGAAGCTCAAAACGAGGAAATTACCATCTCATTGATGATACGTGATGCATCAGCGACAGCGCTACTCTGGAAGCCCATGTGCTTCATGTTATCGACTAGCTCTGCGACAGTGATATCGCGGCCCAGGTATTTCTCAAAGTCTACCCCGCTGACCCTGTGAGTCCCCTCAGGGACGGGTTCAGAGGCGACAAGGACCGCATTGGTGGCTGAGGAAGGGGGTGCATTGCTCGGTTGGCTTGACATGATGATAGAACAAGTTGTACTCTGGAATAATGGATTGTGTCTAGCGACTCTAGCCAAAGCAATGATGCGGGGAAGAAAACTAGTACACCAAAAATAAAAAAAAATCACAGAAAAGACGTTTGACGCCTGAGTGGTAAGGCCACCACACCAGCGGATAGCACTAACTTCATTGGGCTTGAATCAAAGTTTGCTGGCGCTGGAATTCCCCAGTCCTGCCTGAGAGCTAAGGCATGAACTTGGCGTCTGCTAGCGCTGGCTCAAACCTTGAAGGGTCTCGCCTCAGGCACTAGACTAAGCCTCGATTAGTGTGAGGTGACAAAAGTCGCCCAGCGCCTTTAGGGGATCCGCATTGAAGATTGGAATCGGTTTCAATTAGGTGGAAGCAATAATCCCTGACCAACAGAATCCATCCCAGCTTTCTCAGCTTGCAAATGGTGACTGGTTAGCGACGGGCAACTTGCTCCTCACTCCTCTGATTCCTCTCCATGATCCGGGCGAGATCTTCATTCCTCTCCCTTCCCTTTAAACTTCCCTTTCTTCATCTCCTTTTCCCCTCTATTCTTGACCCTCATTCACGCCATTTTGACCCGACGAACCGGGTTTTGCGCCAGGACCACACCTAGAGTTGAAGTGAAGTTTCCCAAGTCGAATATCGTGGGCCTTTCTGCCACTGCAGTTTCAGCTCCTTGCAGCGTCCCTCGCGCTGTTTGCTTGACACGTTGCGTGCGGTTGGAAGGTAAGGAGAAGTCCATCTGTTGAATTTTATGCTCTCTTATATTGGTGCCTTCCAACTGTCTTGTCCACGGTCGCCTTGGATCTGCTGTCTTTGTCACACATGGTACATCGAACCGCATCGATTCCCATTGACTGGCGGCCGAAACGCCCATCCCGTGATGGAAACGATATTCCGTTGGGATGGGGCTTCTTCCCGTCCAACAATCAGAACGTCGGTATCATTCTTGAATTCCTGAGACAAAAACAACGCCAAGTCGAGTCCAAGGCGCATTGTTCAGTAACCTCGAGCTCCTCCCGGAACCGGGGCGCCTCTGCAGTTTCCTGATTCGGCTGAGCTGATTAGATAATCTCGAACATGGCCCGAGCTTCCTTCATTTCAATGTCACGTGCTCCCCACATCCTTTCGCCCTGCGCCGTGTTGGCGACGAGGCGCCTGGTCCCCCTGCCTTTGATCTGAATTGATTTTCGAATTTGACGTTTCTTGATTTTGCTGAGAATTATATCGCAAAGATCAAGTACATGACTAACCTGCTGCAGGGCTCTCTGCCAGGTTGATCGTTCCGGATAACTTCTAGCATGGTCCGGTGATGTCTGCGCGATATCCCCAATCGTCTGGGTTCAACTCCCGAGACCGTTCCCCTCGATATGATCGTCGACCTCCCGCCGGCCCTCGTGGCTCTGACGATGTAGGCTTACCCATGGGACGAGAGCCTCCCAGAGGGCCGAAGGCTTTGATTGACCACCCTCGAAGCGCGTCTTATGGTAATCGAGGACGAGGAGGCTACGGCCGAGGAGAATTCCGTGACAGAGACCGTGACCCGAGAGAACGCGACCGCGATTTTCGAGAATCTCGCGATGGACCACCACCGCCATTTCGTCGCGATATTGACCGGGACCGGAACCGTCGTGCCCATGATTTCAACGCCAGAGATCCGCGTGACAATTTCGGCCCTGGCCGTCGCTCGCGCTCACCTCCTCTCCGCGACTACCGTGACACTAGAGACCTTTCTGGCCGAGACCCCGATCTCGTGCGGATGCGTCGCGGCTCGAGAGACAGTATGATGTCTGTATCTTCCGCAGTTCCTGACGGCTCTTCCTCTGTAGGCCATCATTCCCGCCCTGGCCCGATCCGTGGCCGAGGAGGCCGTGGCGATCGAGATGGAGCGCGTGGGCGCGGTGGCGGTCGGATGCCGTACATGGATGATCGCGATTTCAGACGCCGGAGTCGGTCTCGCGACAATCGATGGGATCGAGAACGAGACAGGGACCGCGACCGCGACCGCGACAGAGATCGACCGCTTGACCGTGATCGGGATCGAGAGCGTGTGAATGCCGATCGTGATAGAGACTGGGACATTGATAGGCGTGAGAGAGACCGTGATTTTGATCGCCGTGATCGATTTGATCGCCGTGATGAGCTGGACCGCCGTATGGACCGTGACGAGCGAGATAGGCCCGCGGATTTGTGGAAGCGAGACCGTCCACCCAGTCGAAACGAGAACAGAAATTCTAGCATTTCATCCCTGCCATCTGTTGCACCACCTCCCATTCACCCTGGGGTGGCATTAGCAGACAGGATAACTGATCCGTCGAGTGTTGAACACCCTCGAAAACCGTCTACGGTAGAACCTTGGCGTGACATGGAGCGACTCGAATCTTTACCTTCTCGGCCGGATCCCATGAAGGAGTTCATACCTCCCGTTCCAAAACGTCCCACACCTCCCGCTGCTCCTCAGGTCCCAGCTTTTGGTTCAGTAACTGCACCGATTCCGGATTTGCCTCCAGAGAAGCCTCCTGTCGAGACACCTGCGGCGGCCCATTCATTGTCAAAAACCGAGAAAGAACGCCAGGAACCTTCAGCGAGACCCCAGATGTTGCCACCAACAGGACCAAAAGCAGACCGCGGTTTGCCTCATCAAGTAGCCGAACAACGCGCCCGGCGTGACGAGACGAAACGGGATGAGGCTTTTGATCACACTCCGAAGCAGGAAAGCCCCGTGCGGACCTTCAAGCCACCCCAGACATTATCGGTCGGTCTCCAGAAACCAGTAGAACTTTCTCCACCTACTGCTCCAGCAGCCATGGTTACTAAAGACAGTGCAATTACCCCCGAGTCCTCACCTAGCAAAATTGGGTCAACCACAATTTTTCCGGATGCAACACGGGGCCCTCCTTCGGCAGGACGATCTGCGTCTCCAGGATCGCTCACATCGCCTCGTATGCATTCTTCGAATATCCCTACTGGTCCCCGGGCGCTTCAACAACGGCCTCCACCGTCCCGTGGGCCTTCCAAAGGTAATAAACAATGGGTTCGACCTGGCTACAGTCGTCCGCACTTTGCGACCAGCCCGACATTACCGCCGAAGAGAGATTCCATCGATAGTCAGCACAGGAGTTTGTCTATCAGCGAAGAATTCAAGCACGACATGAAAATGGATATCGATGGGCAGATAACAAGCCCAACTGCGAACAGACACCCCAGTAAGGATAAGGCTATGCATGAGGAAAAAGAAAACTTCCCTATCCCTGAGCCGTCTATGGAGCCGCCTATGGAGCAGCCCACAGAGCATCAAGATCGCGCCCCTAGTCCTCCTCAACGTCCTGCAAAGGAGGTTTCTCCAAAGCCCACCGAAGAGATAAATGATGATGTCGTAATACCGGACTTTGGGAGATCTAGTGATGAAGAGGAGGATGAGAATGTCTTTACTCAGGAGTATTTGGAGGAGAGAAAGCAAATTTTTGAGAAGGACATGAAGGCTTTGCGTGCAGAGATGCCCCCCTCGCCATTGGAAGATCCAAATATTGTCTCGCTACTTATGCGAATCCAGCTGTTAGGATTGATCGCAAAGGGGGGTCAACCTGAAAAGGCCCAAGAACCATTAGCTTCTACGGATGAAGCTGTTACGCAAGAAGTACAGGCAACTTCACAAGATACCGACATCGACAAGAAAACGGAGGAGCATGAGCCACCAACGAAACTGGTCCTAGATTCGCTTCCCGACGCAGTATCTGTCGCGAACCTTCCATTCCTGCAATCGGGACCTCCTACGCCGATGTCTGATCTGGACGTTTACCATGAGAACAATTCCACCCATGATCGTATAAAAGCCATTCTGCGCGGGGAATTGATTGATCACCGCAAGTCTATCGCTAAGAAGAACGCGGAATTACGGATGGAATGGTTGAAACACTACAAGCAGTGGAGGTATAGCGTATGGGAGATGGACCGTGCAAAAGAGAAGGAGAAGACCTCTGTTACTCCGGGGCTGACTCCTCCTCCGGCCCCGCCTCCACCAGTAACGCCAATTCCCGTTTTGGAGAGTCGCTCCGAGGGGCGCCGATACAAGGGTAACAGCGAGTTGGATTTCCAGAATGCTCTTCGCGCGTCCGAGATATCTGCGCAGGAAGAGCTTGCGAGACGCCGTGAGAACAAGGCTACTGCGCAACCAGATCTGAATCGTGAGGCAGTGATCCCGGACATGCTTGAACCCCGGGAAGCCAAAGCCCTCATATTCAAAGATACGAATAACATCGTCGATCCATCCCAAGCCATGGAGGTCTTCGGCTTCATGCCACCGCCGAATGACTTCACAACCGAGGAGCATGAAAAGTTCACGGATGCCTTCATGGCCTTCCCCAAGAAATGGGGGAAGATTGCCGAAGCCTTACCAGGGCGGGATTTCAAACAGTGTATTGTTCACTATTACTTGACCAAGGAAGAGATCAAATATAAGGCCAAGCTGAACAAGCGTTGGAGCCGCCGTGGCCGTGCGAGAAGATCTGCCAGACCCAAGTCCAATGCACTCATGGCCGATCTAGGCGTCGTCAAACCGGATTATGAAGGCGAGGAAGAACCGACGCCTGTGACCGACACCGGCCGCCCACGCCGTGCAGCTGCTCCAACGTTTGGAGATACTTCTGCCGATGCTGATCAAAGCGCCAATGGCCGTCGGGGCAATGCAGCCAAGGACGGCGATACAAGTGAGAAGCCTTCGGGAAGACGCGGACAGCGAGGAACTGGCGCTCGGGGTGGCCGCAGAGGCAAAGCAGCTCAGCAGCAGCAACAACAGCAGCAGCAGCAGCAACAGCAACAGCAAGGCCCCTTGACGCCACAGCCCGAACAACCGAGCTCAACTGCGCCAACGATTTCAGCCACGGCTACGCCAGCTGCAAACATCCCAACGATGCCTGCTATTGCAAGCGCAGAAGTGCCAGATGTGAGCTTAGAAGCAGGTGGTGATGTTGGTATAGTGAGGTTCAGAGACCAACTTGAGGGTGATCGGGTTGATATGCCTCCGCGGTCGAAATCGGGTAGGGGTCGTCCTCGGGATGATCGCACGATTTACACTTTCGAGCCTGGACAGTTAGTAGGCTTTGTCCCGCCAGATTCGTCCACCACATCAAACACAACCAGCTACTGGTCAGTCCCTGAGGTGCGCGAATTCCCTGGGCTCTTAGCACACTTTGGTAGGGACTTTGAGGCTATTGCTAATCATATGAAATCAAAGTCCACCCAGATGGTGAGTAACATGCGCCGTACTCGAATGCCGTCGGTAATGCCTCTGCTAACAACTCATCGCTATAATCAGGTCAAGAACTACTTCCAACGTCGTATGGATTCAGGAAAGACGGACTTTGAGGAGATTGCAGCGGATGCGGAGGCAAGAAAGTCCCGTGGAGAGCCTACGGCCCCGCTGCCAACATCAAGCTCCACGTCCAAACGTCGTTATGAAGCCACGCCTTCTGCCGTGAGCGTGTCTAGGCCGCTTGCTCCCCATACCGAGGCAACGCCGGAGTTTGACGATAGCCGGTTTGCGCCCACTGTGCGACACCCTGCACTGTCCTCTCAGCCGGTATCACTACATGCTCGCTCTCTTCATGAGCGTGAGCGCAGCATTTCTCGATACCCACCGCTCGCGCAAGCTAGCAGTGCGTCATTGGCGCCTCATTCGCCCGCCATGAATATGACTGAGGAATCGTCCAGGGCAATCCATAATCAATCAGGATTGCCACCCCGAATGCAGGGACCGCGCCTGGGATATTTTGAAGATAGACCGACTGTGCTATCCCATCCAAGTTCCCGGACCCTCGATCACCCCATGTCTTCACGGCATATTCCTGCCTCGGGCCCTGAGATGTCAAGGTTAGAGTCACTTCCGAGTCAAGGATTCAGAGGCGTAGATGTGCACGGATCGCCTTTGCTGGCGAGTCAGGGTGTAGCCGCACCCCCACACCAATCCTACCTGCAACCGTTAGCCCAACCGCACCCCCAGGCGCCGCCGCTTATGTCTCACGGCTCACACTCACGCCAAACTAGTTTAACCAAGCCTCCCAGCTCCCCACTTCAGGCAATGGGAAGGCATGAGTCGGAGTTGCCTTATATCCGACGTGATTCAATGAGCCAGAGGTCCTTCTACCCGCTATCTGCGCCTCACGTTGGCGTCCCGCAGCCGCATCCCATCCTGTCCCCTTCTCGGGATCCCCTGCGCACGGCATTACCCCCGGCGGAACCCTCTGAACCACCTCGCCAGGTGCCTGCGAAGCGTTCGAACATCATGAGCATTCTGAATGACGAACCCGAGGAACCGCAACCCAGAAAACGGTTCGCAAGTGATCAAGCTTCCTCTGTTCCCGCAGTAGGCTCTCCTTCGCGGCCAGTTTACACTGGAGGCTCCTCGCTCCCCCAGCCAACACGACAAGAGGAGTCCATGCTCTCAGCCTCTCAGCAAAAGAGCTCAGCATACCCCCAGCAGAGTCCGTACTTGCCGCCCTCCCGTCCGTACTCCGAGTATTCGTCCTACAATTCAGCAGCAGCAACTTCGGGATCTGCTGGGAACACCGATTGGCTGGGACGATTCGATCCTCGAGGCCAGCAGGCATCCCAGCAGCCGTCCTCGGCTCCTCCGCCGCCTAGTAGTCGCCCGCCCGCAACGCTGACGTCGCAATCCCCGTATTCGCCTTTTGCCTCTGGTCAAACGCCGTCGGGTCAGCTATCGAATCTGAATGCCCCGTCTCCTGTGCCAACTCCGCCGCCGGTGCCGGTTTCCCAGCGGCCGTCGTACCCTGCTTCTGTGTACGCACCATCACCGGCGCCACACCCGCAAGCAACCGGTGGAGGGCCGCGCGACATGCCTTCTCAGGGCCCCATGTACAGATCGACCATTAACTCTCCCACGCTGCGGAATGGTCATGTCGCATATCCGACGCGTCCTGGACTCTCCTCGACCTCGTCATATGGTTCAACCACACAGAGCGTGCCGGTAGCTGCCCATATGTCGGGGACGCCCCAACAGCATCCAAGTGGGCCTTCAGCATATCAGCACATGCAACCCTTGGTCGCGCATCAACCTCAACCCCACCGGCCACATATGGGGCTAGCCGGATCGCATTATGGTCGCAACACGCCGCCTCCGCAATCCCAGGCGTCTAGAATGGCGCCTCTATCGGGTCCGGGTTCTCAGCAGATAGGTCGCTCATACACCCCTCCGTCAGTCTTGCAGCCAAATCCCACGAGTGGAATGGCCTATGCACCGAGTGGGCCTGTTAATCCCCACCCTCTTCAGGCACGGCCGGCGGGTCCTGGCGCTCTGAACGAGCCGCTTTCCGGACCGCATGGAGGATCGGCCCATCATCGGGTTTATAGTCAAGGGTCGAATCCATATCCAGGGCCGTTGCCATCCCAACATTCCAGTCGATGAAGCAAACCTCGTATTGCCTCATATTGGAATTGATATGGATGGAAGTCATGTATTATAGGACGTTCACTACACCCACATATTCCCTTCTTCGTTATTCTCTTTCAATGAGCTCGATGTATTAGGCAGATATGATTTTATAGCTATGAGTTGATGTACAGTAGATGACTCAATAGATCGGTTCACGATATCCGACCTAAATGGTCTCCTCCGCATGGTCGCTGTGTCTCTGGTGTTCGAGGCGAACGCCATCGGCCTCACCGCAGGTTCATTCGGGTATTTTGGCCAGACTGCATGCCGCTGTCAGCGTCAACAAATGGATGATGATCATGACGCACGACAAGAATGCCGAGGATGTCTTATGATTTCAATGGGAGTTGGAGTCTCGGCTTCTTGCCTTGGTAAGCTTGATGATGATGCTAAGCGCAAGTCATTATATTGGCGGTACCTAGCGTATCAGGCAAGGCGGGAGCATTCCTCCTTCTCTACAGAGAACTCGGCGTAGGCCAGAGTACGAAGACATGTTATAATCCGTCTTACTCGAAGACACAGCAAAGTCAGATAGATCGATGTTGATGGCGAGTCATGTTGTGCGTGCATTGTGCATTGTGCTTGCTGACAACTGCCAGGGGTGATGTCACCTTCCTTAGCGGCACCAAAACCAACGCAGAAACAAGTCGACCGCGGTCGCTTCTCTGACTGTTGCATCATCTCTGGAACCCCTGGATGCTCTCTCAACGAACAATATTCCTCCATACTTTGACAAACAAGACACGTCCTATCATCCGCTCTCCGATTTCCCCGGTTCCCCGCTGTAAGCGCCGCGGTCCACATCCCATCGCGTCGTTCGCGTCGTCGCCATCGCTATCGCTCGCTATGATGTCGTGGAAAGACTGGGGTCCGGCTCTCGAACCGTGGCGGAGCCCATAGTCCTCTTGGCCAGTCAATGACAGTCCCCAGAGACCATGCAATCTGACTCGGGTGGTTCTGCGAATTGACCATGGACAAATTGCGAGAACCCGGTCATCGCATTACTGCCGCGCATAACGAGTGGAATTCAACCTGTCTTCGTCCCCTTTAGCTTGAGACTATGACGTCGAATGCCCGTGTTACTCCGTAGGAGTCATGGGCTACAACATCAATATCGTGCGGGATGAATGCTGGGTATAAGTGTGGAGTCCTGTCACTCGTTCCTGGGAATGAGACTCAATTGTGGAGGGTATGTTTGATTGCCACAGATCGCTAGCAGTCTTTTCAATGCGATCGGAATCCATCTCCTATACTTTTTACACATCATTATCCTTCTTGCTTCTCCTCGACACATATCCGTCTACCCCACATCGTTGACAATAGACCCGCCTGCACGATGGCGGTTGAGGATGATGTCCAAAACCCGCTGCACACGGGAATTGATACCGAGAAGGATGAGCACCATAACAGGAAAGAGTCGACCAGCCCGTCCGAGCAGGCTGACAACACCCACGCCGAACATGCTTCGCAAGTGTCCAGCAGCGAGAGCGACTCTCGCGGTAAGGTCAGGCCGGACGGAAAGCGAGAACTAACCGAAGACGACGCATACGATGCACTTGGGTTCTGCTTTCGGTGGTATAAGAAGTGGACAATCCTCACCGTCATCTTCGTTGTCCAGATGTCCATGAACTTCAACAGCAGCACCTACTCCTATGCGGTATCTGGGCTGACGGAAGAGTTCAACATTAGCAAGCAAGCAGCGCGGACCGGTCAGATGATCTTCTTGGTTGCCTACGCCTTTGGATGTGAGCTTTGGGCACCATGGAGTGAGGAGTTTGGCCGATGGCCTATCATGCAGCTCAGTTTGACGTTCATGAATATTTGGCAGATCCTTTCAGCATTAGCCCCGAACTTTGGGTCCATGCTTGTTAGTCGTTTTCTGGGTGGTATCAGCTTAGCTGGAGGCTCTGTCACGCTGGGGATGACTGCTGACATGTGGGAAGCCGACGATCAAGGCTTCGCCGTGGCATATGTGGTGTTGTCGTCTGTGGGTGGTACTACAATTGGACCCTTCTTCGGTGGTATGATGGAGCAGTGGCTGCATTGGCGATGGAATTTTTGGATCCAGCTCATCTTCGGCGGCGTTACCCAGATCCTGCATCTTTTACTCGTACAAGAAACGCGCTCAACTATTCTTCTTGATCGGGAGGCCAAGCGCCGCCGCAAGACCGGCGAAGACCCCAATGTCTACGGGCCCAACGAATTGAAGTCCCCAAGACTTGACTTCAAGGAAGTCCTGGCTATTTGGCGCCGACCATTTGAGATGTTCCTGCGTGAACCAATCGTTCTTTGCCTCTCTCTGCTTTCTGGTTTCTCCGACGCCCTGATCTTCACCTCCATCGAGTCGTTCGCTCTTGTCTTCGAGCAGTGGGGCTTTGACCCCCTGAGGATTGGTCTCTGCTTTGCAACGATCATCATAGGATACCTCATGGCCTATGTAATCTTCATACCCGACATCTGGCGTCAGCGCAAGATCCGCAAGGAACAAGGGAATGCCGCTCGCTTGCCAGAGCGCCGCCTCCTACTTCTTCTGTTTATAGCTCCACTGGAAGCCATCGGACTTTTCGGATTCGCGTGGACGACGATGGGTCCAGACTATAATCACTGGATCGTGCCTCTAATCTTTATGTTCCTGATCGCGATCGCCAACTATGGTATATACATGGCTACGATCGATTACATGGTCGCCGCTTACGGTCCGTACTCTGCCTCTGCGACGGGCGGCAACGGGTTTGCTCGTGATTTCCTCGCTGGTCTGTCCGCCATGTATGCGACGCCGATGTATCAAAACATTGGCGGCAGATTTCATTTGCAATGGGCGAGTACGATTCTCGGTGTTTTGGCCATCTTTGTCACTATCCCAATCTATGTCTTCTATTGGAAGGGGCCGCAGATCCGGGAGAAGAGCAAGTTCGCTCAAACCCTGGCGGCAGATCGGGCGCTTCATGAGGGTAGGAGGGTTAGCTATATGAGTGGGAGGGAGAGGCCCTATGCGGCTTGATTGGTCGGATATGGTTTGGTGAATGTAATTGTACGCATAATGACTGATGATGGTATCTTCTTGTACTATCCTTTGATGAATATATATATAACAACTATTACTCCGCCTTGGTATCTTTGAACACTCCTTGCTGTCAAAGTAGATATAAGCAATCTGCCTGATGGCCTTCTAAGCGCCATTTACTAATGGATTCGTTATCTTTGGCTATAGTCTAATCATCCTGGCCCTGATCAATCCAAGTGATGCTCGGGGCCATGACCGCCACTTCCGCAGTGGGCCTCGTCCGGCGATAACCGTTGAGCGCGGAACAACTCCCGAAATCCCGCCCTGTCAAGCATCTCCTCTTCTCAAACCCCTTGAACCATGCACTGTGTGGCTGATGCACTGGGACAATTCGATTTTGCGAGCGGGGATGATGCGGACAAGGCCTCCCGGACCCCGGAAATGTACCGTGCACAGAAGCAGCCACAGACGTCGACTACAGCCGCCCTGGCCGACAGCCCGAATCCGATATAAAGGCCGTCTCTTTTTTTCCTGGCTGTCATCACGGTTGATTTCTACACTCCCCCTCGAGATATATTTGACCTTCTGGGACTATGGCGCTCCAAACGGTCGGCATCGCTGTCGTCGCTGTGATCTATTTTCTCATCCGCTACTTCAACCGCACAGACGTCCCCAAGATCAAGGGTCTGCCTGAGGTCCCTGGGATACCAATCTTCGGCAACCTCATCCAGCTCGGTGACCAGCATGCAACGGTAGCGCAGAAATGGGCGAAGAAGTTTGGGCCTGTCTTCCAGGTTCGCATGGGAAATAGGGTGAGTCTGACTGGTGGTGAAAGTGAGGGGAAAAGTCTAATCCAAACTACAGCGCGTCATCTTCGCAAACACCTTCGATTCCGTCCGTCAGCTCTGGATCAAAGACCAATCCGCCCTCATCTCCCGCCCAACCTTCCATACCTTCCACAGTGTCGTTTCTAGCTCTCAGGGTTTCACAGTTGGAACGTCGCCGTGGGATGACTCGTGCAAGCGCCGTCGCAAGGCGGCAGCCACGGCGCTGAACCGCCCTGCTACGCAGTCTTACATGCCGATTATTGACCTCGAGTCGATGTCGAGTATTCGGGAGCTGTTCAGGGATAGCAAGAACGGAACGGTGGACATCAACCCGACGGCGTACTTCCAGCGGTTTGCGCTGAACACGAGTTTGACTTTGAACTATGGCATCCGAATTGAGGGCAATGTTGATGATGAGCTTCTGCGTGAAATTGTTGACGTCGAGCGCGGGGTCTCGAACTTCCGGAGTACCAGCAACCAGTGGCAGGACTATATCCCGCTTCTGAGGATTATCCCGAAGATGAATCGCGAGGCTGACAGTTTCCGTGTGCGGAGAGATAAATATCTTACCTATCTTCTTGATGTCCTCAAGGATCGCATCGCTAAAGGAACGGACAAGCCTTGTATTACCGGAAACATCTTGAAGGATCCCGAAGCTAAGCTTAACGACGGTATGTAGTCTACCATCTCTCGACCTCAACATACTAACAATATCCAGCCGAGATCAAATCAATCTGCCTGACCATGGTCTCTGCCGGTCTCGACACCGTCCCCGGTAATCTCATCATGGGCATCGCCTACCTCGCCTCCGAAGACGGCCAACGGATCCAAAAGCGCGCCTACGAAGAAATCATACAAGTCTACCCGGACGGCGACGCATGGGAAAAGTGTCTCGTCGAAGAAAAGGTCCCCTACGTGACTGCCCTCGTCAAAGAAACCCTCCGTTTCTGGACCGTCATCCCAATCTGCTTGCCGAGAGAAAGCACAAAGGACATCACATGGAATGGCGCCGTTATCCCCAAGGGCACCACCTTCTTCATGAATGCATATGCCGCAGACTACGATGATACGCACTTCAAAGACCCGCACGCCTTCGAGCCAGAGCGCTACCTCTCTGCAGCATCCGATGGCTCGGGGACACCCCACTACGGCTATGGCGCCGGCTCGCGCATGTGCGCTGGTTCGCATCTTGCTAACCGGGAGCTTTTCACTGCGTATGTCCGTCTCATCACGGCGTTTACGATGCACCCAGCCAAGAAGGCTGAGGATCGGCCCATCCTCGATGCGATCGAATGCAATGCTATTCCGACGGCGTTGACGACGGAGCCGAAGCCCTTCAAAGTCGGGTTCAGAGCGAGAAACCCGGAGTTGGTTGAGAGATGGATTGCAGAGAGCGAGGAGCGGACAAAAGACCTGAACTAAATTTCTTGTCTCGAATTTCTTCTTTTTCTTTTTTATGTCAAGAATCTATGATAGCATTCGGTACGGACTACGGAGTAGTCTACTTGGCGATGTCGCAGCAATTAAAAACTAGGCATCCATTAGAAAGTGAACAATATCGAATTCAAAGACAATAGATTATCAAAATCCATAGTAAATGACACCAAGGCAGCCACAAATCTTAGCATCTCCAAGGCAGCTCCTCCTGATCGACACCGCAGCGGAACCAATTCCATTCCCCGCATTTTCCCCAGTTTTCCCAACGCTCAGACCGCCGGCCACTGACGACCGCCACATTTCCAACCTTCCATCTCCAACCATCTCGACACTTGTCACTTGGCTACTCGCTCCCGCAACTATCCCTGTCGCTTTCTGTGTTTATCTTGACGACGCTTAGCATGGACCCGTCTATTGCCGCGCATCATACGAGTATCTGGGAGCGGAGTCCCGATGAGAGTGTTACCATTAGTGTTCATGGGGACCGGGAGCGCGAGGTTGAAGTCGACGCGGCGCCCAGGAAGAGGAGGAGGAAGTACATTGCTAAGGCTTGGTGAGTCAAGTTCTTATTGTCCCGGGAAAAAGTTCTCAATTTTGCTGACGAGTTGAAGCAACGAATGCAAGCGACGAAAGATTAAATGTAACGGCGAGCGTCCATGCGGGAGATGCGGAAGGCAGCGGATATCATGCATCTACGACAATGCCCATGAGCCTGGGGGCAATGAGACAATGTGAGTAGTTGCTGACCTCGTTCGAATATCTGCTAATTGGCTAGCGGAATTGAGCGGTTGTATGAGCAGATGAACGCCATGCAAGCTCAGATCAGTGCCCTTACAGCATCTGTCCATGCGCTAGCCCAGAATAACGCCACTGGTCAGGGGTTGCGTCAAGAGGCTCCACCACGACTACACCGACGTTTTTCCATGGCGGCAAAGGAATTGACTTTCCAGGGCCCGACCACGTCTGGCTTTAGCTTCGATCTGGCGAAGTCAAGTCTCAAAGAGCGTGGAATTGAAGTTGAGCGCAATGAAGATATGACGCGAGAGCCATCGCCATTGCCGACTCCACCGTCGCCGTCGCCCGGATCCTGCCATGTCGGAGATCCCTTATGGAGCATCAGCAAGACGGAAGCTCTCCGGCTTTGCCGGGTGTATGATGAGGAGATGGGAGCTATGTATCCGGTGGTAGAGCTCGATCAGCTCTTGCACAATGTTAACCTGCTATATGGACCTACCGACGCAGGCTCCTGGCCTCGAGCTCCTGCTTACCCACAAGGCGATGAAGGTTTGGATAGTGACGACGTGAATATCCTGCGGCTGGTGTTTGCCTGCGCTCTGACAGCAGAAGCGAGTGGTAGTAGTGAATTAGCGATGAGTTTGTTTGAGACTGTTCGAGACGCTGCCGACCACTATGTCTGGGCGGTCCCCGAGATCAAAAGCATCACGTTGCTGGCACTTGTGGTAAGTTAACCTCCGACGAAAGCAACGAGGCTGACAAGTGTAGGCGATTCTGTACTTTCAAATCGACGAGGAGACTCTGGCGTGGCGGACGATCGGGATTGTGGAACGCATGTGCTTGGAGAAAGGGCTACATCGCAGAGAAACACTGAAGCACCCGGCTATCATAGCAGCAGGAAAGAACCGAGTACTTAAGTTATTCTGGTCGGTGCGCGTACTGGATCTGAGGTGGAGCTTTGGAACCGGCATGCCGTACAGTATTGATGATTCCGACATAGATCCATGGCTTTCAGAGCCGGAAGAGGACTCGTCATACTTGCGCGTAATGATTCGGTATAGTCGGATTGCAGCAAAGGTGTGGAGGTTCATATCAGCATTCAACAACACCAACGAAATCAAGAAGGACGAGATGAATTACCTAGACTGGCAGGTACAGCAGTGGGTCGCCACGCTTCCGGACTCTCTGCGTTTGCGGAACCCATCAGGCTATGCAGAAGGCGAGACGCGAAGCCTTCGCCGACTCCGTTCCTTGGTGTATCTTCGAGCAAACCAGCTGCGTATGCTTATTCATCGCCCTGTCCTTCACTCTGCAGCACATATGATGCGCTTCCCGGCCGAGTCGCAGACCGTGGTCGACATGGCCAAGGACTCTATCCGATTTATCACCCAGCTCCACGCATCGTCAGACATATACCAGCTGCAGCAGGTGGTCTTCAACTGGTTTCTAGTGTCGGCATTGATGGCATTGTTTCTTGCTGTCGCCCAGATACCCAGCCAGTACAGCACCGCTTGTCGGGAGGAGTTTTATATGGCGCTGGAGCTGGTTAAAGGGGTGTCAACACGGTCGTACATCTCACGGCGGCTGTGGAAGTCGATCAAGGGACTTCGTCGGCTTGGACCCCAATTAATGCATAGGCAAAGCGACGGTGATGGTGCTACCGTTGAAGGCATCGTCGATCAGGCAGTGTCGGCTGGTGCTCAGAGCCAGACACCAGATGGAGTTCAGATGACGCAGGAGCTGAAGGAGTGGTTCGAGGCAGTCGGCAATCTGGAAGATCAAATCATGGGAGTCGGATCGCTCGACGCTTTCCAGGAAGGGTATATGCTGGATTACAGCAACGAATTGTCAAGCATGATGAAGGATTGCTTTTGACCAAGATAGGCTCGTCGGTTGGTAGAGGCATAGATTGCTTTACAACTCTCCCTACTCCCGGCCGTACAGGAAGGAGCTACCCGCAGCTGGAGGACGTGAGGTCACCTACGGAAGGAGCCATATACGGAAGGAGCTACCCTACAGGTGTTCCAAGGTTGTCCCGACCTAACCCGTCTTACCCGGAGCTGGCCGCTCTTTCTAGGTATAAGCTTTTCGGATCGGGTGCCCTCGGGACTCTCTGTGAAAACAATAGGGCAGCAACTTAAGAGATCTGGAAGTATGCTCCGAGGATTGGTAATCCAAGGCAGCTGCGACCCTACAAATATCTGCATTTTCCCGTCTCTCGCTCCTTCCTTTCTTTCCTCCTACATCTCTCGCCATCTTTTCAGCCGTCTACTTCTACACATATACTTCTTCACACTTACTTCTTCACTTACTGTGCCATATACCTGCCATCTACCTGCCATCTACCTGCCATTTACCTGCCATTTACCTGCCATTTACCTGCCATTTACCTGCCACTTACCTGCCATTTACCTGCCATCTACCTGCCATCTACCTGCCATCTACCTGCCATCTACCTGCCATCTACCTGCCATCTACCTGCCATCTATCTGCCATCTATCTGCCATTTATCTATTGGCGAGCTGGTTGGGCTTGGGGTTGCCCCCGTAAAGTCCAGCCAGCTTGCCATAGAGCTGCCATCTATCTGCCATTTACTATGGTGGTTGGTTGGGCTAGGGGTTGCCCCCGTACGGTCCAGCTAGCCACCATAGACTGCCATATTTTGCCACTTATTCCCCTTATTCTTCCTTTATATTCATATCGTAACTACGACAGCCCGGTTTTATTTATCCTCTAATTAGTTGGTAAGCCCCACTAGCGCCGGGTATTACGGGTGTTAGTAAGCATTACTTCCGCACCCTATAACTTTTTATTTACCCCGGCCACTATGCTTTAAAAACCATGTTTTTTATATATAGTGCTTGCTTATAATTTTAGTAATTTTTTTTATAATTTTTATAGTTGCCCTTTTTTTACTTTTATAATTATAAATATTTTTTTATATATTTATTATTTTAGGGGGCCTAGTTTATATAAGTTAAGGGTATTATAGGTAATATTTTTATATAAACTAGGCTTATAAATTTACTTATTATTAAATAAACTTTAATTTAAAAAAGCTTTAATTTTTAGGCCCCGGTATACTAGCCTTTATTTAAGTATTTTATTAATTTTTTTACTATTTTTATTATTTTTTTAAGCCTTTTATTAAGCTTTTTTTAAGCGCTTTTTTTAATTTTATTAAACTTTTTTTTTATTTTAAATTATAGCATAAGTAACTTTCTTTATATATATGCCTTTAACTTATTAATTTTTTTTTATATATGCTATTATACCGCCCCTTATATATTATTATTTTATTTTATTATATATTTTTTATATATTTAGTTTAGTGGTTTAATATTAATTTAGGCTAGGTTTATTATAAATTATATTTTTAAGGCTTTGGGATTTATAGGTGCTATTAATATTATTATTATTAATATTATTATAGGGTTTAGTAATATTATACTATTTATAATATATACTTTTAGCCGCCTGTTAATATATATATATATAAATAAGGCATGCTATAATAGTATATATACTTATTATAAATACTTTAATTTTTATTTTTTACTTTTTGTATTGCGTAATAATTTTAGCTACTTTATTTTTATTTTATTTATTTAATAATTTTTAAGCTATTATTTTTTAACATGCCTTAGCCTTAGCTTTTTATTAATATTATATCTTATAATATTATACCTTTAATTTATTTTATTATGCTTGTGTGTGGGTTAACCCTTTTTAAATATTTTTAGTATAAAATAATTAAATTTTTTTTTATACTTTTTTATTATCCACCCTATATATTTTATAAACAGCCTTAAGTATTTATAAGCATAATAAGTGGTTAGTACGTAAATAAAAGTTTAGGTTAAGGTAATTAATATATTTATATATATTTTAAAATAAATTATTTAGGTTTATAAGGTTTATATTATATTATTTAATAAATAAATTATCCAGGCTTTTATATTAGGCTATATAGTTTATATTTTTAGCTTTAATAAGTTTTATAATAAGTAATAATAATAAGTTATATAGGTATAAAAAGATGGGTTATATAAGTATAAAATTAATAGTTTTTATATTATATATTTTATTTTTTTTAGTACTTTTTTATATTATTTATTATAATTAGCCGCTCCCGGTCTTCTACCCTATTTAGTATAATTTTATTATTTATTTTATTTTTAAATATAGCTTTATTTCCTATTTATAGTGCTTTTTACCCTATAAATTTAATTATTTTATTATGCTTTTTTATACTTTATCTAGTATTTTATTTTTATTTATTTTTTTTATACTTTTAATTACTAGTATTATGGGCTATTTTCCTACTCCTTTATTTTTTTATAAGACTTGTAAATTACTAATTTTTAAAAAGGGCTAAGTATATTATAATAATAGCTATAACCCCAGGAGCTATAAGCACCTTATTTATATAATTAATTTTACTTTTATATACTCCTGCTTAGTATATTTAATTTATTATTAATAATTTTTATTAGCCTTTTTTAGCCCTAAATATTATTTTAGGTATAACTATTATTTTTTTAATTTACTAGCCTATGCCTCCTGCGTTTACTTTATTTTTATTTTTTTTTATATTATTATTAATTTTAGTATTAAGCCCCCTAGTGCTAGGTTCTTTAGGCATAGCTATTTTTAAATTAACCTAGTTTATATTAGTATTTATGCTATATAATAACCTTTTTTTTATTCCTTATAATTAACTATGCCTAGCTAATTAACTAGGTGCTATAAAGCACCCCTATTAGGCCTAGTATAATTATTAAATAATTAATAGCTACTATGCCTATTACAGGCCGTGCTAAAAATATAACCAGCTTTAAATAATTATTATTTAAAAGTGTTTTACTTATAAAAAGGTTTTAAATCTAGCTAATTTACTAAATAAATATATTTTTTATTAAAAGCTTTTGCTAGATATATTAACACAGGCTTTAAAAAATATTTTAGCTATAATTACTAGTTTTTTTAAGCATGGCACTTAAATACTATTAGTTTTAGGCTATATAAAGGTTGCTTGCCTAAGCTATTATTTTTTATTTATAAAAAAAAAGATTGCATGGCATTTGGGTGCTTTTTTTAATTATATTAATAAGTATTATAATTTTTAAAAATATTATATAATTAATAATATAAACCTTTAAAATAATTTTAATCCCTACCTAGAGCCTAGCCTTAACTTTTTAATTTAATAAATTTTTAATAGGAACTCCCCGGAATATAGTAGGTTTATATATAATATTTAATTAGTTAATAGCTCCCTTACCTATACTAGTTTATTTATAAAATATTATGCCCGTGCTAGTTTTAATAATATTAATTATATATTTTAAATATAAAGGTTTATTTATTACTATATAAGCCCCCTAGGTAATTTATAAAAAAGTAATAATATTATATTTATATAAATATACTAGCTTAATTTTATTAAGGCCCTTAAATACTATTTAGGGCGTAATATATTTTTAAATAAGGTTAAAAAGGCCCTAAAATAAATTAATTAGTTTATTTACGCGTGTAACCCGTGGTATAATATTTTTTTTTAAAGCTAAGTTTATTTTTAAGTAAAATATAGACCTTAGCTTCCTGCAGTTAACACCCTAAATATAATTTATAATTAATAATAAGCTAGGCAAGCGTTATAATCTTCCTTTTTAATTAAAAATATTTAAAATAGGTATTTTTATACCTAATATTCCTATAATTTCTTTTTTAAAGTGTTAGCTTAACCCTGCTATTACTAATAATACTTATTTAATAAAAGCTAAATAAAATCTTATTTTTTTTTTAAAAGCCACTAAACTTATTTAATAATTTTTTATTAACTAAGTTATACCTTAAGATAAACCCCTATAATATTAATATTTTTATTACTAAAAATAAAAATAATCCGGTACCTTGGCGGTTTTTTACTATAATTAATTTTAATTACCTATTTTATTTACCACTTTATTATATTTTTTTTTATGCTAAGGGTAGGATAGGCTACTCCTATAAATAAAAAATCTATATTTTAATATAAACTAAATAAGAATAAAGTAAGAACTAAAACTAGGTAATAATAATTATATTTTACTAATTTTATATTTTTACCTGTAAAAAAAGTTTTAATATTTTACACCAGGGTGGCATGCTCTTTTAATAGTTTTTAGTAAATATTTAGCTATATATAAAGAATTTATATTTATTTAGTATTTATTATAACTAAAAAACCTATTATTTTACTAATTATAGTAGTGCTTCTCGGGCCTTAAATAAAGGTTATAATTTAATATAAGTTAATAAGTATATATTTTTAGGCTTTAATTACAAGGGCAGTAACTAGTATATATATAAGTTTTATTATAATTTTATAACCCTAGTGCTGTGGTATAGCACCCTAACTTTATTTATTACTTTTATAATTAATTTAGGGTGGGAGAAGGTTACTAAAAAGCTTATTTAAAATAATAATAATAACTTAATATAATACTAGCAGGACCGGCTAAATCTAGTATGTTATATATTTTATATAAAAAATAAAATAATACTTTGGAAATTTAAAAATAGTGCCTTTAGTAAGTATATTACTTATTATTTTATTATTAAGTTTTAAAAGTAAGGCTTACCTTATTTTTATATTTTTTACTAGCTTAAGCGGAGGTTTACCATATAAAAAAATATTAATAACCTTATTTTAGCTAAAATCCTTAACTTAAATATTATTTTTAAAGGGGATTTTAATCCCAAGGCCCTATTTAATATTATTAAGGGTAATATAATTTATAGGCTATATAAAAAGCTTAAGCTAAATATACTATATTATTTTAATAATAATAAAAAGCCCTAAAAATATAGCAAAGGCTTTTTTAAGCTAT